CCACGGAGAGAAGAAGGGAGAGAGGGGGAAACGATACACAGTGGGTGAGCCATGCACAGATGCCTCACACATCACCTCATACACGTCTCCACTGCCATACGAGCTATGCATTTCCTCCTCCTCCTCCTCCTCCTCCTCCTCCTCCTCCTCCTCCTCCTTCTCCTCCTCCTCCTTCTCCTCCTCGCCCTCCTTCTCCTTCCTCATTATCTTTTTTTATTTTTTTTAATCCTCACCCCAGGATATTTTCCCATTGATTTTTAGAGAAAGTGGAAGGGAAAGGGAAAGACAGAGAGAAACATCAATGTGAGAGAAACACATTGATTGGTTGCCTCCTGCACGCACCCTGACTGGGGCCCAGGCTGGGGAGGAGCCTACAACCGAGGTATGTGCCCTTGACCAAAATCAAACCTGGGACCCTTTGGTCCGCAGGCCAATGCTCTATCCACTGGGCCACATCAGCTAAGGTTTCTTCTTCATTATCTTATCATATTCATTAGAGTTATTTTTCCCACCAAAAAGCTGAAGTGGCCCAGCCAAGTGGCCCAGTCATGCCACCACATGGCACCGGATGCATAGATTCCCCCACCGTCCTGATACTGCCAGCCAGGGGCTCCTACCACACAGAGGCGGTCCCTCCTCCTTACCTTGGCATGCTTCCCTGGTGAGAACGTCCAGTCAACCTTGGTCATGAGTTTCTCTCCCGTGCTCTGGAAAGCACAGCCCATCGGAGCTGAATCACCCACATAGACCGTGAGCTCTGAGGATAAAAGGATAAATCAGGTCAAACCCAAGATACAATCAATAGAGGCCATAGAACTTCTAGAAGAGATAACATTTAGCCGAAGATTCTCCACAGTAAGGTCAACATTACCAACCAACACTACACACATCCTCTCCACGGATGGCCCAGATGGTCCGGATGGACCACGAATTCAGAAGCCTCCCCTCACACCACACGGTGCTCCCAAGGAAAAGAGCCCCTCCAGCCACCCATGCACATCAAGGCGAGAGTCCTGTTGTCTTCGTACGACAAACACTTCCTGGTCTTCAGTTCCCTTCTCCCTCACATGGGCCCCACTCCACTTCAAGTTCCTACTGAAGACAGTACAAGAAAGCGTGAAGGCCACCACCTTCTGCCCACCTCCTGAGGTTCCCACATTTGCTTCACATAAACAGGAAGTGGGAAGGTACAGCACTCTCATTCTTATACATATACTAGAGGCCCGGTGCACAAATTTGTGCACAGGCAGGGTCCGGCCAGCCCAACCCAATTAGGGCTGATTGGGCCAGGCTGGCGGGGGGGAGGGGCCACAGGCAGTTGGCTGGTGGCCCTGCCCCCTGGTCGAACTCCAAGTTGAAGTCCCAGTGGAGGGGACAATTTGCATATTAGCCTTTTATTATCTACACCAGGGGTCCTCAAACTACGGCCCACGGGCCACATGCAAATACAAATATTGTATTTGTTCCCTTTTGGTTTTTTTACTTCAAAATAAGATATGTGCAGTGTGCATAGGAATTTGTTCATAGTTTTTTTAAAACTATAGTCCGGCCCTCCAACGGTTTGAGGGACAGTGAACTGGCCCCCTGTTTAAAAAGTTTGAGGACCCCTGATCTACACTAATAAAAGACAAATATGCTAATTGACCATACCTTCGCTACGCCCACCAGCCAATCAGAAGCGTATGCAAATTAACCCAACAAAGATGGCCATTAATTTGCATACACAGGGGCCCAGTGAAGACTGAAGACAGTGTAGAAGGAAGCCAAGCACTGCAGAAGGGAGCCAAGCAGCGGAGAAGGGAATGGATTGAAGGTAGCAGAGACGGGAGGGAGCGAGGCGGCGGACATGGGAGGGAGGTGAAGCAGAGGACACGGGCGGGAGCCGAGGCAGCGGGGAAGGGAGGGAGCGAAGCCCACCTCCGGCTTTGCTCCCTTCTCTGCTTCGCTCTGGCCTCAGGAAGCCCTGTTCTTGCAGAAATAGGCCCAAGGAAGCCCTATTCTTGCAGGAATCTTCCTGCAACAGGCCTCTAGTATAGGATAACCCCCTGGGCCCCGGCTGAAGAACTGAGTCACAGGTGGCTCTCCTCTACTTCCTTTCTTTCTACAAGTTGCCTTAGGATTTGCTTAGGACAGTTCTGGCTACAGAGCAGGTCACAGGACTCCTTACTAATTAGGCCAAGACAACAGACAGTTTTCCTCTGGATGTTGTTTCTGTTTCACTCCCTGCCCCACCCTCCGGCCTGCTCCCACTTCCCCTGCTTCTGGCTTTGCAAGTCCTGGGCTCCTCTTCTGCTTATTCTGTGCGCAGCTGACCCCATCACGTGTGTACTGTGTAAGTCACTGCAAGAGGCCCTTGGAAAAGGAAACAACGAGGAAGATGTGCTGATTTTTTCGATGCTGCCCAACCCAAATCAAACACAAAGCCAGTGAAGAAAAGGAGGGAAGGGCGGTGCTCAGGGAGGCATGAGCCCAGGTCTTAACTGGACAAAGCTCCTTCCAAAGAGCACTAGCGAAGGAGCAAACGGCGTGCAGCCACCTCTCTGCCCGTTCCCCGCGGAGAACGAGCCTCCTGCCCAGCAGGACAAGTGCAGAATGAGAGCAAAGCCAACGAAAACATGATGAACTCAGAACTCTGCAGAGGGAACTGTTCTGAAAGTCATAAAAATTCACTCCAAAGACACCAGGAGAGGAGCGGACGCCCTCGAATTCTAGCCACGCATTACAAACTGACCTCTAGCTCTGCTGGTGGCTCTGTGGTTAAAGCGTCGACCTCTGCACCAGGAGGTCTCGGTTCGATTCCCGGTCAGGGCACATGCCAGGGTTGTGGGCTCAATCCCCATGGGGAGTGCAGGAGGCAGCTGATCAATGATTCTCTCTCATCGATGTTTCTCTCTCTCTCCCTCTCCCTTCCTCTCTGACATCAATAATAAAAATGTGTATATTTTTAAAACTGAACTGTTTTTTAAAGGCAATAATAATAGTGAACCCTCTGAATCCTCCCAATGCAGCAGGCATGCGGGAGGCACCCGTGCGTAGCCTGTGACCGGGCATTACAATACTGGGAGCTACTCACTCGGACCCTCCCCGTGCACAGAGGGTGAACCTGAGAGGCCAGGGCCGCCTGAGCGGGCACACGCCCAGCTTTCACTCCCTCACTCCACGCCTCAGAGCGGAAGGACGGCCGCCCCAGAGCAGCCGAACAGGAACTGGTATTGTTTTTATTTGTAAGAATATTGTCTATAGTGTTTAAATAAGAACGGTGAAAAAAAAGAACTAAAGCCCTAGAATCAGAAAAATTACAAGCTGAAGGGTCACTTGGTGGAGAAAATCAGAGCCACTGCACAGACGGCGCTGTCCAGGGAAGAGGAGGGCAGCGGCACGGGCGCGCGAGGAGGAGCTGGGTCTACTCCCACCCGGCGCGGGGGAAAGTAGACACAACCCTGGGGAACATCTAACTACCCCACAAATGTCCCCGCTGTCGGACGGGTTCGACGTCTGGAGTCCGCTCCTTTTGGTTCGTTCCCTCTGCGTTCTTCTAAACAGGAAAAGGCCCCGTTTTGTGGGCCACACTTGTGTGGACACGTGTTGGGGCGTGGCATCAGAGACAGAGCAGACAGCCGTGGCCCCAAGGCAAGCCCAGGGGACACGGGCAGCTGACTGCTGTCCTCTTCCCAGGGGGTCACAGCTTGGGAATCAGAAAAATGACAATTGAAGAAAAGTAAAATAAATAAATACATACATAAATAAATTAGGAGAGAGGCCAAGCTACCGTCTACAACTCCAGTTTTCAGACGCCAAACTCCAGTGAGGGGCACATTCAAGAATCTCATTCATTCATAAGTGTTTGTTGATCGCTCCCTCTGTGCCCGTCAGGGGACAAAAGGAGCCGGTCAGGGCTGGTAAGGGGACAAAAAACACAGACCCAGGTGACGGGACAGACACAGCTGAGCAGGGATGAGCGTCACCAGCGGGAGGCGGGGAGGCGGGGTGACGGGAGGAGCTCTCTAAAGGAGGGTCCCAAACAGCCGGATGGGGGCCAGGGGAGCACACTCCAGCGCCCCAATTAGACCCAAGCGCTCGCTCCTGAGGCCACAGACGTTTCCTTCTGTCTCACACTTGCAAAAACTGTGCAGAATTCTGGGGTTTCCAAACCTTTTAAAGCAACAAAATTCTTTCTTCAAACAAAATCTTACCTGGCGGCCCCATAATAAATCAGGAACAAGATAAGGGCTGAGTTTGCAGGGGAGGTGAGAGCGTGAGGTCCTACCTGGCCAGGCCCTCCATCCGCCCTCCCTGCTCTCATCCTTCGAGCGCCCCCAGGCTCCACAGAGCAGCTCTCACACGACCATCTACTGAAGCCACTGGCTCCGTTTACCAATGGGAAACTGAGAACCAAAGAAGTTAGGGAAACCTGCTCGCGCCCTGCATGCGCTGAGCGCTGACTGCAGGACCCACACACCGCGGCATCAGCGTGGGTAACGCGGGAAGGGTGGGCACGGTGAAAAGGGCATGTCAGAGGCCACAGGACCAAGCGCTGGATCTGCATTTACTAAACGCGGGCGGAAGCCGTCACTGGGCCTCTCTGAGCCAGTGAGTGGAAGGAATGCACTTCCCCCCAGCACTTTCAGGAGCATGAAAGATTCTAAACTAATAATGTCCGTCAGCCTCGTTTTATTTATTTTTTAAATATATTCTATTATTTCGGAGAGGAAGGGAGAGAGAGAGAGAAACATCAATGCTGAGAGAGAATCATGGGTTGGCTGCCTCCTGCACACCCCCTACTGGGGACGAGCCCACCACCAGGCATGTGCCCAGACTGGAATCGAACTCGGGACCCTTCCGTCGCAGGCCCACGCTCTATCCACGGAGCCAGGCCGGCCAGGGACTTCCTCCTCGCTCTCACTGCAGAGCACTCCTGGCTGCAGGCTCGTGCTGTGCTGAGCACGGAGCCCGGGGCTGGCAACTACCGCAACATCCGGCCCTGCCCGGTTCGCCCCCGTCCCCAGCCCCTCCTCCCCTCCGAGCGGCCACGCACCTCCGGGCTCCTCCGGCAGCACGTACAGCGCCACTTCGGTTTTGAACACGCGGCTCTCCCATTCCAGGCGGATCTCGCAGGTGTAGGTTCCCTGGTCAGCCTCCTGCACGTCTTGGAGCAGGAGAGAACCGTCGTTGTGCGAGAGGGCCCCCGCCAGGCGCGCCCGGTTCTGGAAGCGCCCCACCGGCACGCTGAGGTTGGCGTAATAGTACAGCACGTACTCAGCCTGGAGGGCACAGCATCAGGGGCCTGAGTCAGCTGATGTGAATCATCAGAAGGTGCTCATTCAAAGGGAAATATTTTGTTATTTTTTGCAATTTATTTTTTATGGATTTCAGAGAGGAAGGGAGAGGCAGAGATAGACACATCAATGATGAGAGAGAATCATTGATCAGCTGCCTCCTGCACGCCCCACACTGGGGATCAAGCCTGAAACCCCGGCATGTGCCCTTGGCTGGAATTGAACCCAGGACCCTTCAGTCCACAGGCTGATGCTCTATCCACTGAGCCCACCGGCCAGGGCGAGAGTGAAATATTTTGAGTGGGATTCAAACATCATCATGTGCCAGGAAGCATCTCACATGCACACGCTCCACGGCTCACAGAGAGCGGGATGGAGAAAGAGGGGCCACACCTTTCGGCCCTGACCTTGGGGGTGAAATGCAGCACCCACTCTGAAGATCGCCCTGGGGGTTCAGACTCAGCTCGTGGGAACCACCTCCCATCTTCACCCCGTCTTCTGCCACAGCCCTGGGAGCAGCTGGCAATCGGAGGCACGATGGGACGCCCCGGCTGGCTGCGTGAGAGTCCCAGCCTGGGCTGTCACTCGCCCCCGTCCGCCCCCGTCTCGGCAGCTTCCAGTGAAGCATGAGGAGCCATCAACAGGAAGTGCCGCACAGGCCGGAGGGACAGGCCTGGGGGATTCTCATCTCTACTTACACATGGGACATCCCTCCCGTAACACTACGCAGCCATGAGCATTGCAGTGAGCGTAGCATTCTGGGAATAACATGCCCTGAGCTTCAAAAATAATATTTCATTTGCAAACCTTGGGAGCTTGTTGTTAATAACATGCTAGTAGGACATTTTCCCCAAGTGATCCTGACATAGAAGCATCTCCGCAGAAGCTCTGCTTCCTGCTCCAAAGAGCCCACGAAACCCCCTCCGCAGCTGTGCTGCACCTGCCCACCCCCACGGGGCACACAGCTGGGAAGGAGGCCGAGAGATTCTCCCGCACATACATGCTGAGGTCCTGAGGTCACACCGACTGTGCAGACCAGCTCACCCCCCCGCCCCAGGCACCTGCACTGCTCCACGGGGGGCAACATTGAGAAAAGAAACGGAAACGAATGTGCACGCCTCCCATGAGCTCCCAATGATGACCCCAGCTTCCTCGCAGAGGGAGGCGGACGCGCAGCGAGGCTGGACGTCCAGGCGGAGAGGGGTCCTGACGCGCTCCAGAGCCTGAGCTCCTGAACACTCACCTCACGGCCCCTGGAGACCTGGCCCCCCCACCTCGAGTCCCGACCCCGGGCAAGACTCCCACAGCTCGGCCCTGTGTCCCCCTCGTCACCTGGGCGTGCTCCCTGGGTGAGAATGTCCAGTCGACCTTGGTCACGCATTTCCCTTCCACGCTCTGGAACACGCAGCCCAGCAGGGCGGGCTCACCCGCGTGCACGGTCAGCTCCAGGGAGGACACGATCAGGTCGTTCAGGCCCAGGAAGTAGCCTGCAGAAGCCAAGGCAAGAGGAGGCGCCATTAGGAAAGCGTTCATCACCAAGGGCCACACCTCCCTCCCAAGGGCCACACCTCCCTCCCAGGTGGCCCAGTGGGGACAATAAGCTGAGGCCCTCGCTTATTAGCCTCTAGGTACCACAGGGATCAGGTAAGGGCTCTGCGACCGCCACACTCCACACACGCTACCTGGCCTCCTCCTACCTGGCCCTTCCCCTTTCCCAGAATCCCTCCCCAAGCCCCCCCCTCCACTTCCTTTCCAAAGAAAGAAGAGAAACCCTGAGGTCCCTGCTGTCGGAGGTATTTAAACGCCTACGCACAGGAACGATGTCCCTTGTTCTTGGTTCCCCATCTGAAAAAATGACTCCCAGGTACTTTCCCTTCCCTCCTGTTCGCTCTGTTCTTTGGTTCCTTCACAAAAGCTCATCTCTGCATTTGCCGCTGCTTCTGGCTGCCGTGCGTGCGGGTCCTCGGAATCAGGCCAGCGCAGGGCCTGGCTCTCCCTTGCGTGGCCTTTGTGTCCACCTCCTCCCAGGCGCCTACCCCAGCCCTGCCAGCAGCCCTGGCTCCCAGCCTCCGGGGCTTGGCACACACGGTACCAGCCCACTATCCCTGCACCTGCTCCAGTCATTCCTCTTTTCACTAAAAGGGAGAACCGTTTGATGGATATTCCTGTTTTCAGAAGATATGCTCTGTTTTCACACAAAGAGACAACCTTGTCAAGAAAGACACCTTTAGAGATGATGCTGATGGGGGGGGGGGGGGCGGGTGCTGGGAAAAGGGGAAGGGATTGAGGAGCACTGACGGGCAGTTACAGAACAGTCCCGGGGATGGGAGGCACACACAGGGAACAGTCAGTGATCTCTCTATATAAAACCCTAATATGCAAATAGACCAAACACTGGAACAACCGAACAACCAAACAACCGGTTGCTATGATGTGTGCTGACCACCGGGGGGGGGGCGCATGTGGAACATGGCAGGCATCGGCAGCAGGCAGCAGAGCATGGAACATGGCGGCCGTCAGCCGTGGCAGGATGGAGGAGCAGGTGAGCGGTGGGGGGGGGGGGGGCCCCCAAACAAGGGGGGGGGCTGGTTGGTGTCCTCGGGGGTTCGGGGGGGCCCCTTGGGAATTATAAAAAATTTTTTTTCCCCGGG